AACGAGGTGGACGGGGAGGTACTTGATAGGCTGATCAGTGATGCTGAGTCAGCAGACGAAATATCAACACATCGGCAAAAAAGCCGGAAGTTTAACAAGAGGATATCAAATGAAAAACTACTAAGCAGTCTATCATTGAAGCTTGGTCAAAGATGAAACAAACTGAGAAATCTGTCTATATTGATTGAGGTATTATGTATACTATTTACATTATTCGGACTATTTTCCTCATCTTTGTCGCCATGTGTATTACAATATTTCGGCTGTTGTACACTCCGGCCTTCTTCAGGTGGTTAGAATGTCGAACTGAACCCTTTATTTCGCTCACTGGGGTAGACTGTTCTAGTTCCACGTGCCATCTTTTAATGGATGTCAGTTATCAGTTATCTCCTGTTAATTCCCCCTTTCCAAGTTCTCCACTGATTTAACCGAATCTAACTAACGCCTTTATCCACTTTGGCATAAAGGCGTTAGGTGGAGAACTTGGAGAGGGGAATTAACAGGAGATAACTGATAACTAACATCTATTAAACATGGCACGTGGAACTAGAACAGTCTACCCCAGTGAGCGAAATAAAGGGTTCATTCCAAACACCTGAAGAAGGCCGGAGCGTACAAGAGCCGAAACGTTGTAACAAATATGGCGAAAAAATGAAGACAATAGTCCGAATATTATAAATAGTGTAAACTGAAAAATGTTTCAATCATTTCAATGAGATTCGAAGTAATGAAACCTCTGGCAATGAGATAGCCTCTATGCTGACTGGACTTAAGATGTCAAATGAACCCTTGCCCCTAGAATAGTATGAAGTGGTAAAGAAACGATGGATCTAGATGGGATCACAGCCCTTTCTTCTTCTGTTAGCCACATCACTTCAGAATCATTGTCGATCATGGCTTACCAAAATTTCCCATCCCTTTTGACTCTTAGCAGTTTTGGTTTACGGCCGTATCACGTTTAAAAGCCCGTTTCCATACGATTACTAGAGTTAAGCAATATCGAACCTGCTCACTACCTAGATGGATGATCGCTTGGGAATACCAGGTGTTATAAGCTTGGATGTGCGAGTGGTGTAATGGATAATGACTTGGAATTGGTAATCAGAGAGCCAAGTTCCAATTCCAGTTGGGTTCGTTATATTCACTTACGCACAAATACCCTTGTGGGGAAGGCATGAATCCACATCTTCTACCCCATTTATGTTTTAATTAGTAAGACGTGTATCACTAAACCATTAACATTTCCCCTCCTAAATTCTTACAATATAAAAAAAATCTGGCTTCAAATAACCTGCAAAAGGTTGATAAGCCGTAGAAAACGATTCCATCAAATCAAATCTTAGCAATTTTTGCTAAGGATCTTGCTCCGTTACGACATTCATTCACTCAAGCTTGTCAAATAATTGACTCACTGCCATCTGCTGTCTCTCTTACCTTCAATATGACCAGTGAGTTTTAAGTTTTCCAAGCCCTTCTTCCTCATTATGTGTCCAAGGAATTTCAGCTGCTTTTTCATGATTCTGAGTACAAGTGTTTCTTTCTGTTAACATTTTTCTTAAGCCTTTCTTATTGCTTACCCCCTCCATTTGTAGAATTTTCAGTATCCTTCTGTGGAACCATATTTCTGTTGTTTCTAGTTTTTTTTTTTCTTACCCGTGGGAAGATTGTCCTGTATTCACTGCCATAAGATCCAGAGAGGGATATGCAATGTAATTGGTCCTGATCTGGCATCTCGTCTGCAGTCTCTCTCTCAAAGACGTGACGTCGCCTCTCTCTGTCTTTTTTTTACAAATACTTTCATGGTAATTGCTCCGATGAGCTGCATTCGCTGGTTCCCAGACTTCATGAGTTCAAGCGCCCTACGAGGCTGGCATCCCGCTCTCACCCTTTCACTGTCGAAACTCCTAAATGTAGCCGTCTCTTCTACTCCAATAGCTTCGTATCTCGCACCTCTCGCCCGTGGAACTCCCTTCCCTTTTCCTGTTTCCCTGATAGCTATAATCTCCAACTATAAAAATGTAATGTCAATCGACATCTCCAGTTGCCTTGATCTATCCACTATCCTTCTCCTCATCCTTTCCTCTATCACTCCTATTTGATCTTGCTCCAAATCCTCTGTAACCCCTTGCGTGCTAGTGGCTTCCCGCCTTGCTTGGGGTGAAATGCTTAAAAAAAAGAAAAAACAGATAACACATAGCAATCCAGTACTCTTTTCTTTGTTTCTAACAAAATTTTCCCGTTTCTTAGTACCTTGCTTAGTTTCTAGAATGCTTCTTTCGCTTAGTCTATTGCGTGTTCGGATCTCGACGTCATGTCGCATTTTGGAATCAGTACTAAAGTGGAAGCACAGTGGAGTAATAGATGACGACTCTGATTGAGGAATCGGGGAGCCGAGTTCGAATTCCAGTCGAATCCATTACATTCCCTTATGTGCTAATACCCTTGGGAAAGGTATGAATCCCCTTCTTCTCCCTCCAGGTATGTATAGATAGCAGGACAGACAGAGTTCTTGGATGGTGTACCACAGAAAGAAATGGCAACCTACTGTGGGAAAAATCCGCCTCGTCAGTTATGTATCGAACGATACATGATCGCCTAATCGTGTATCATGCATGGCATATAACTGACTGTCTGCTAAAGTGATGGAGCGGCCCAATCTTGATTAAATTATGCTGATTTTTGCAAATAGTCTACTGGAAGGATCGGTGTCCGGAGAACGATCTAAAGCAATTACCGTAGTTTGAAGATTTCAGCAAGGCACGTAATTACAGAGGAATAAACCTAACAGAATGATACTCAACAGGATTTGTCCAAAGATCGAAGAGCATCTTCGCTCGAATCAAACTGGTTTCAGACCATGTAGGTCTACTACCAGAGAGATTCCCGCGCTGAGGTGACATTGAAGAAGTTAGTTGTCAGACTTGAAGGCAGTGCTCACGTCTACGAACTACCGAAAAGCTTCCCATGTTATCAAACGTAATCGAATGTTGCAGATACGTCGAGCATAGGCTAAGTTTGTAAATGAAATTTGCTTAATATATCAACAGACGAGAGTGAGTGTTCTTACACCAAATGATAACACAGACGAAATTTTGGCGGGAATTCTTCGTGGTTGGGAAACACTAGTTCTATAGCTTTTCGCTATAGTGCTGTGTGTGTGCACGTGTGTATATTAAACACACACACAGTCGCATTCATTTCTGGCTAGGAATTTACTCTAGGACACATTTTTCCAGAATGTAGTCGGGTTCATTCCTCCAGAGCAGGCTCTGTTAAAAATATGAAGCACTAAAGCAAGAATGCATAAGAAGTCCTGAAATTAACCAGCCACCAAATGTAACATATTCATTGTACGAATTTAATGTCATATCGTATGCTGGCTTCGTTCGCACGACATAAACATTCCACCCAGGCATAATACCGAACCTGCATGTTGCATTTGCCTATTCGTTGTTGAAACAAATGCAGAGCTAGAAAGCCATTAGCCAAGAGCTCATAAAAGAATAAAGCAACAGTTAATTTAACCATGCGTTAGTCACATGGAAGTGTTTTGTTACCCCAAACATTTTAAAATATTAGTTATTCCTAGTTGACAACTCCATCAAACTATTTTCCTGACTCTATGTGTTTTACTACTCTTAGCCCCATAATTATGAGTTTAGCTAATGTAATATCTTTCTATTCATGGAAATGTACTGTGGCTATTTTTGATGAATAAAACTTCTCTGGGTTAATGTATTGGTGTGTTTGATCTGAAATTTACAACATACAAGGATCGTTCAAAAAGTTATGTGTTATGGGGTCCTCCCCTTTTCATATAAGTGAACTCTACCAGTGTTACTTGGAGTGCTGCCGTTAAATACCCAAAGAAAGAAAGAAAGAAAGAAAAAAAAAACTCGTGTAGAAGTCAGTTACAAGCACCTAGACTCTAAGGAACTCCTACTTCAAGACTGTATATATCTATCTGTATTTGTTACTAACCGCGTTCCTGGATTTACTAACAGTATTACTCTTTGTATGATTGTGGGCACCGCTTCAGTATAATTTTCCTCAGTTTGACAGAGAAGCCCCTGAGCGTACTCTGTCCAAGGACAGAGACGCAACTGAGAGATGATAAATAAAGAGTATAAATTACTTATAATAATTTAGTCACTAAGTGCTTAATAACTGAGTTACAGTGTAACCCGGATATAAGAGAGATTTTTTCTGGTCCCAAATTAGAGCCTGTGTTAATGTATATAAAATAGACCAAACCCGGATATAAGAGAAACACTTGATATAAGAGACTTCTTCTCCGGTCCCGACAACTCTCTTATATCCGGGTTACACTGCATTTAATTATTGCGTTTGTCATTCCTTGGAGACCGAATTCATCTCGGAATCCACAACATTATGTTTCCCCCAATTTTTCAATATCGTTTTGACATCAATGAACTTGGTCCAACGAAGCTTAAATATTGCAATCCTATTACAGAAGTTATATTTTTTGTTTCTAATTAGGAAGGGCACTAATTTGATTCTTGGAAAAGTTTCGACTTTTTAATGTTACTGTCAGCGATTTGTAAAATCTTACATAGCCTAGGGGAAATGAATACCTGCCTATCGATTTAGGATCATCTTTTATTACAGATCTGCTTTATAACATTTGTCGGACAGTGATTTTCCGATATTTAACTTGTGGTTTCGGGCGACAGTAAGCAATCAAAATGGCGTCGAACACTGATAGTCGTGGTGCGATTTGCTGAAGAGCAGTAAGTAACCAAGGGAGGTAATCAGTGCTGACAGCTGAATTGCTCGTTTGAGGCCGTCAAGTCGTACGAGGTGAGCCAATAATAAGCTTTAGGTGACAGTGAGCACCGATTTTAATTGAAACGCTTTGTTTATCTGATTGTCTGTGAAGTCGTGTTGAACAACTGGCTTTGATTAATCCCTGTTGGCGAAAACAACGGCTGAGTTTAGAATTAAAGTTGTTAATTATAGCAGTTGTAAATTTGATGCAGTGCGGGATAGGGAGTCGTCATCAGTCATTAGCTTCTCACTCAAACAGGTCAAATTGGAGCAGTCGCTGGGCCGTCTCTTTCGACTTTCTTTCTTCATCGACTTCACTATTTGGCTTTGCCTACTAAACTCCCAGTTTGTTTCTGTCACTTCTGCTCACAGAATCTCTCGTTTTGTTTTCCTCTTTTTTTCTTTCTCGTCTTTGGAGATATGGTAGAGTGGTTTCCTGTAACCTTCTCCATGATTTAGAATTCACAGTTCTTACGGTAGAGTAGCCATGGCCCATTACAAGAGAAGCGCAGTGCAAAATTCTATTTAATCCATAGCTGTTAAATGTTAATGGATATACTTTATTTCATATAAATTCAAATTCAAATGATTATATCTACTTATATTGTTTCTTTTCTCTCTATCTCTCTCCCATATATATATATATATATATATATATATATATATATATATATATATATATATATATAGATAGAGAGAGAGAGAGAGAGAGATTCAAAAAAAAAATTTCGCTTGAAGATGGAACGGAGCTTATTTTAACTCAATTTAATTTAAATAATTATATTGAAGTTTTCATCTCTTGTTTTGAAACATGAGACTTCTTATGTAGCGTTTTGGAATCATATTTTTAAATAAATAATTATATTTATGCTCTACTTTTGTATCGAGCACTATTTTTAAAAAATAATAACTAAAATACTAAGGGACATTGGATTATTTACCTAACCAGTTCCTTCCTATTTTCTATATATTTTCATATATATATATATATATATATATATATATATATATATATATATATATATATATATATTCTTCACGTGTTTGCTAACCGAGCAGTAAAGTATACCATCAAGGCGAATGCTGGTTTGATTCTTGTCGGAGAGCTTATTTTCTTAATTAAGATTTCTCGAATGCACACTGTTTCAAGTAAAAATAATTTATTATAGATAGAAATATTTAAGTAAATGCACTGTTTATAATAAACAGTATCAACAATATTTAATATATATTAATACATATTTATTATGAACAGAGTATTTACTTAAATATATGAATCTATGAAAATAATGAATAGACAATAAATATATTAAAATAATTATCGGACTTAGTCCATTTCATAAGATATATATATATATATATATATATATATATATATATATATATATATATATATATATATATATATATATACAGTGAGTGAGAGACAGACGGACAGAAAGACAAAGACAGACAGACATGGGGTTTATCAAAATATACTTTGTAAAAGTATCATTGTATTTCCAGATCGAAGCGGCGAAGTCATCCAACCTTTGCTGCAGTTTATCATCACGAGACAGGATCCGTGACACGACAAACTATAGATCGAGTAAGACCGAGATCCTCTCGAACGCCTGACCACGAAGAATACATTCTACAGGCTGTCATTGACGATCCAAATATCAGCACACGTCAAGTGGCCCGAGCTTGCCGTACATCTCATCGTACTGCATGGAGGTACGTCAATATATATATATATATATATATATATATATATATATATATATATATATATATATATATATATATATATATATGTGTGTGTGTGTGTATATATATATATATATATATATATATATATATATATATATATATATATATATATATATAGGGTGTCCATAAAGTTCGTGTGCACTTTTAATAATTTATAACTTTAAAGTGCACGCGAACTTTATGGACATCCTGTATATATACGCACACACATATACAGTAGCGTCCAAAACTAAGGGACAAAATTGAGAAAAACAATGTAAACGGCAAAAAACCAATAAAAACACATGTACAATCAATATTCAGTAAATGAGCCCTTGCTCTCAATGACAGCTGCACATCTTCGACTACAAGAACGAATCAATTCTTGACAATACTCGATACTAATTTTAGACCATTCTTCTTGAAGCTTCACCCACAAATCCCCCGTGTTAGTGGGATTTCTTTCCATAACTTTCACTCCTAAGGTCTTCCAAAGAGTTTCTATTGGATTTAAGTCAGGACTTTGCGGTGGCCAATCCATAATTTCCAAATCTTGCTCGCTAAGGTAACTCATTACCACCTTTGCCTTGTGACATGGGGCATTATCTTGCATAAAGGTAGCCCTATCGAAACCTGAATTCTGTATGATTGGCACAACATGATCTTGAACAATGTTTTTATAGATCTGCGCGTTTACACGAGTTTGTAACCGGACAAGAGGCGTTGTACCTTGGCTAGAAAACATTCCAAATACCATGACGCTTCCGCCCCCAAACTTGACAGTTTTCTTAGTACACTTTGCACTTAATCTTTCACCAATACGTCTCTTTACATTGTTTTTTCTATCATTTCCAAATAAATTAAACTTGCTTTCATCACTGAAAAATACTTTTGCCCAATTTTCATATGTCCAAATTACATACCTGTTTGCAAACTCTAATCTCTTCTTATTCTTCGAACTAACAAGTGGTTTCTTCCCTGGGGTTCGATTAAACAGCCCTATTTCTTGCAGTCGTCTACAAACAGTCTGTCTTGACACATTAACACATGAGGTACTATTCATAACCCTTTTAATTTCTGTGCAAGACTTAAAACGGTCCTTTAATGACATACGCTGCATTATTCGATCTTCTCTTGCCGAAGTTTTGCGGGGTCTGCCGGTTTTAAAAGCACTAACTATTTTGCCAGTATCATTGTAGGATTTAACAACCCTGCCTACAACACTCTTGGAACGTTTCACTTTCTCTGAAATCTCTCTAATGGTGTGCTTTTCCTTGTGTAGCTTCACAATAGCTTGTCTCACAGAGTAATCAAGTTTCGCCATGGTGCCGGCTGATGCAACGTTTACAAATGACTAAGTAAGACTTATTCTTTAGAGGAAATCAAAAATTTGAATATAGCATACTGTTTACATTGTTTTCTCAATTTTGTCCCTTACTTTTGGACGATCGTATTTTGAAAATAAATAAATAATTGTTATAATTCTTTTCTATCCTTTGCAAATGATTCAAATTTTAGTATGTTATTATGGATGATAACGACTACCAGTTGTCAAAATTTCAGCTTTTCACAGTTTTTATTTCTAACAAATATTAGGTTTTAAAATTTTGTCCCTTAGTTTTGGACGCTACTGTATATACATTTGGAGATTTGAATAATTTTTCATAGTAATTCATCGAGTCTAGAAGAAGAATCTTCAAAAGAATGCGAAAATCACTGAACGGCGGTTTCGAACCCGGACCATTCCCATACAACGTAAGCATCATACCACTAAACCAGCGGGCTTCAGTTGTAAGGTGGAAACTCACTAAACTCAATGTAGCGCAGCTCTTCCTAATTCTGCTGGTGATACTCATTCAAGTATAAATAACCCATCGGTTTAGACTTGTTGCCAACCAAATTCAAGGCAAAGTGAAGCATTTTTGCGCGAAATGTAACAAAACTCGAGTGAAATTCGAACCAGGCTCGCCGATTTCCAGTTCGGAGCCGCTAACATCTTGTATGGTTTGATTCTACCTGCATCTTGTAAGGTTTAACAAAGAAGGTAAATAATTGTGATGATCTATCACTTTGTAAGCTATTCAAACTTATGACTGCTACGTGCAAGGAAATGCAAGTTAAAAGAAAAGTACAAAAAACAAAGACAAATTCGTACTTTACTGAGAGAAAATTTTCATCCAACTTGCAGCGAAGATAAAAAAGCAACAGGGATTTGGATTACGGACAGATATTCCTCGGGCAGGAAGCGAAACTGAACTGACCTTCAGACGATACGTCAGACAAGAATTAGAATGAGATCAACATTGGTCAAAGTAGAAAAATATAAGGAAAAAAAGAATATATATATATATATATATATATATATATATATATATATAATTTCTATATACATATTATATATTCACGGTATTTATTGAAATGTGCTCAATATCAGTCATAGAGCTACAAACTCATATCCATACCACGGAATATATAAATATAAATACTGGGAAAATTTTATGATGTGTGGAAAAGTTTATTTGTGAGGCGTTTCGTCCTTCAGAACTTACTAGGACTAATTTTAATATTTTATATTACTAAATTCACTTGTATTAGATACCAACGGATTTATTCCCTTATATATATATATATATATATATATATATATATATATATATATATATATATATATATATATATGTATGTATGTATGTATGTATGTATGTACAGGTGTGTGTCTGTAAAATTTTTAGATATAACTAAAATATACATCTGTAAAAGGACACTATGAATAAAGAAAAAAGATAATTTTTCGTCCTCTAATAGAATCTGTGGACAATAGATGTATGAATATATATACAGAGATGGCCAATTTCCAATAATAATAAAGACAAATTTCTAAATGATTTAAAAACAGATAGATGGTAAAAAAAAAGAAGTGGACGACCGAAGAATGTGAATACCTACGTAAATAAAGAAAATGTAAATATTATATTGAAATTATCATTGTACGGTGATTAAATAAAAGTTGATATTTAGAAATTTCTGTTTATCGTTATTGGAAAAGGGTAAAGCGACTTTTGACATGTACTGTGTATACATACATGCACACGCACACACACACACACACACACACACACACATATATATATATATATATATATATATATATATAATGTATTGAACAATAAAAATATTAAAAAATTAAAACCTTCAGACACACTGGGTTGTATTCTTTCGTTTTATTATTTCAGTTAGATTCCTCGACTAGTTTCGGCCATCATGGCCATCATCAGGAGAAAAAAATTCCTGCTTGTTAGTAGCAGTGAACTACAGGAAGGAATGTCTTGATGGAGAAAATAAACTTTTGTCTGTAGTTTTCATTTGTTTTTTTGTTTTTTTTGTTTTTTAATTTTTTTAACATGAATTTTGGCCAGCCCTTGTGTTGGTCAAACAGTCTCTTTTAAGTTGTTATTTAAGATAAGAGCTGGATGGATTCATGCTTCTCTTTATTTTTATTGGTTCCTGGAAAGGGGTTGTGTCTCTGTTAAGTGTGTGTGTTATTTGGTTCTCAGGGAGTGAGTGGGTATGATGTGTGTAAGTGTGTATATTAGTATAGGCGTGTGTATAAGTAATGAGGCCTCAAAAAAACTATTCCTCTTTCTCTATATATATATGTGTGTGTGTATATATATATATATATGTGTGTGTGTGTGTGTGTGTCTGTGTGTATGTATGTGTGTGTGTAAAGATAGAGTTTATCTGTAGAAGATACAAAATGACTAAAAAAAGAGACAAAAGAAAAAAACTATTACTAGATATTCGGACGATATATATATATATATATATATATATATATATATATATATATATATATATATAATGTGTGTATATATATATATATATATATATATGTGTATATATATATATATATATATATATATATATATATATATATATATATATATATAAATGTGTATATATATATATATATATATAATGTGTGTATATATATATTTATATATAATGTGTGTATATATATATATAATGTGTGTATATATATATATATAAATATATAATGTGTATATATATATATATAATGTGTATATATATATATATGTATATATATATATATATATATATATATATATATATATATATATATGTGTGTGTGTGTGTGTGTGTGTGTGTGTGTGTGTGTGTGTGTGTGTGTGTGTGTGTGTGTAAAGATAGAGTTTATCTGTAGAAGATACAAAATGACTAAAAAGAGACACAGCTCGGACCTGTTATGTCGTGTTCACAGTAGCAAACCATCCTCCATTGCCTTATTGGTTCACTTATACAACTACTTCCACGGAACTACTGCTTTGTGGAACTGGCTCCCCAGTGGATGTTTCCTTGGTCTCTTCAAGTCCAGGGCCAACTGATATCTATCCTACACGTCCTTATAATATTCATTTCTTAACTTCTCCCACTTAACTTACAACAATTTTCACTCAGTAACCTCTACCTTGAGAGGCTCTTGGTCATTGTATTGGGTGAACAGTCAGTAAATAAAAGAATATGTCCTCATGCAACTATTTGATTGGCCGATTGATCACTTAGCTTTTGCCTTATCATGTCTTAATTTTAAAATATGCCAATCACCACGAAGCACTTGCCCCACCCAGGCAGTACTGCCTCGGAAAATGGAGCCGATGTACACGACGTTCAGTTTGCAGAAATGCCTGTATGATTGAACCTTAATCGGCCGTCGTGAAATACAGCGCCAGCAAATGCCTGCGTTTCTGAAAAGCAGCCACAAGATTACGATAAGAAACGAGATCGATTAGGGGTGGGCATTCACCGACCAGCAGACATTGGATTTTCAAATGCTTCCTTTAAGGTTCCCGTGATTTGCTATTTAAGTCTGTGCAATTTCGTATTTTATTGGGTTTATTTATCTTTCAATTTGGAAACAATTGCCAGTGAATGTGGATTCTTCTATATGCGGGTATATTTTTTTGTGCATGGTTTGTATATTTAAGTGCTTATATGCATGCGCGAGTGTGTATATTGTTATCTATCTATTCATCTTAATCTTTTCATATTTAGCTGTCTTTCGATATTAATATTTTCATTTCTATCTATCTATCTATCTCAATCATTTCATGTCTTTATGTCTATCAATCTATCTATTTATTGCTATCTAATCAGATCTGTCTATCTGCATTAATCATTTCTTATCTATCTACAACTTTTAATATCTACCTATATTAATGTTTTCATATCTATCTATCTATTGATAATATTTTCACATCTATCGCAGTCTGATCATATCTATCTATCTTATTCTTTTCATATCTATCTGTTTATATCTATTGCAGTCTGTTTATATCTATCTATCTATCTATCTATCTATCTATCTATCTATCTATCTATCTATCTATCTATTCATTCAACAACCATATCTATCTATCTATCTATCTCAGTTCAACCATATCTATCTATCTCAGTTCAACCATATCTATCTATCTATCTATCTATCTATCTATCTATCTATCTCAGTTCAACCATATCTATCTATCTATCTATCTATCTATCTATCTATCTATCGATCTATCTGTCTGCCTGTTTATCTATCTATCTATCTATCTATCTATCTATCTATCTATCTATCTATCTCAGTTCAACCATATCTATCTATCTTTCTATCTGTCTGTCTGTTTATCTATCTATCTATCTATCTATCTATCTATCTATCTATCTATCTATCTATCTATCTATCTATCTATCTATCTATCTACTGACAATTGTTTTGAATGGTTCTTGACGGTTTACATCAGAGCAATATTGCCGCCTATCTCAGCTTCATGTTACATGCAACATATTTTATTACTTATCATTGCATCTATATAAGAGTACTGGACCTGAACAGTGGTTTCCTCCATAAGGGAAACGCATCTTCGAACCCTTCCAGAAGGCACATTTCCTTTATTAATACACGCCAGTGCATAAACATGTAGACGTAGATTTACACTCTCTAGAATATATCACTTCAAGCGTTATTTTTAGTGGATACCCGTATTTGAGTAGACGCCCCGTTCATTTTAAACACTATTTATTTCGTCTACCAGCCGCGCAATCGAAAAAACTGAAGAAAATTATATACTCACATGCTGTTAGATGAAATAAATAGTTTATAATAAACGGAGCGTCTACTCAAATACGAGTAACCACTAAAGATAACATTTGAAGTAATAAAAAATATGGCCTATTAAAAAATTAATAATTCATTCATTCTTCGAGAATATATATATATATATATATATATATATATATATATATATATAAGCAAATGTAAATGGATATAGATCCGACAGAATGAAGAAAAAAACGGAAAGCTGATCATTTTAAAAATTTTCAGTTATCTGTTTTTGGATAAGACTTGTTTTTTATGTCCATCGTCTTTGTCAAATTGAACTGAATTGTATTTTAATGAATATTGTCTTGAAGAAGGTTTATTAAACCGAAACGTCAGACGTCGACATTTCATTCATTTTAAACAACATAATTGCATTTAAGGATTTTTGGTTTGTTTTTTCCAAATTTTTCTTCATATATATATATATATATATATATATATATATATATATATATATATATTCTAAATTATGCTCTATATATGGGTTAAAGTGCCAGTATCACAGATAGAGCGTATGTAAATATAAAAGTGGGCACTGGGGTCAACAATCTGTTTTCTACTTGAACGCAATTAAAGATGGAGGGAGATTACGTTCTAACATGAAACAGATTGCTTTTTCATCAGTGTTCATTTATTTATATACATAAATTAATTCATCGATGCGAGAAGAAACCTCAACAAAATGCAGAAAGCACTGGACGGCCGTTTCGTCCTATTTGGGACTCGTCAGCAGTGCGCATCTACTACAGAACTCGGACCGTTTTGATATAACGAGCCTTGACGAATAAGAAACTGACTAGACTCGATCTAGTCCCGTTACTCACTAAAGGGGGGGGTGTTACTCAACCAACTCTCCGAAAACCAAGTAATAGAATGCAGATGAATTGCACATAGCGAGAATCGAACCCGGACTGTTTCCAATACGACGCAAGCGTCATACCAAGATTATCAACGGGCCTCGTTGACGGGGAAGAAACTGATGGGACGAAATGGCCGTCCAGTGCTTTCTCATTCTGTTGAGGAATCTTCTAGACTCGATGAATTACTATATATGATTACTCTAACCCCCCCCCCAAAAAAAAATTCTGTCGCTTGTTTATATATCCCTTTGACTATTGTGAAAACCTATGTCGACCTTTTTAAGTCTTTTGTACACCGATCATCTACATTTTGGATTTGCGTGCAAATTTTGTTCAATTTACTCAAAGTCGAATCTTTGTTTATTTATTTATTCTTTTTTTTAGTGGGACCAACTCCTTCCATGTCTACCTTATGGTATTTATCAATCCACCCACGGGGATCGAATGTGGCACAAGGCCTTTTTAATGTGGGTATCTCTGAGCCCGTAGACCCAGCCAAAAATAAATAACCATCCAAACCCGCCGAGGCGGGCCAGTTCCGTCAACCTCCCCCAACGAAACCCTACCCTTCGGCGGAGCTTCATCCGGGTTCCTCTCTGCAAGCAAATGTCTACCTTATTGATTCAAGTGGAAACCGAACCTACGTCTATCTTTTAACTCTTATTAAATCTGACGTATATTCAATTCTGACATGGGCATAAACTGTTGTTATATTTTCTCAGTCTATAAATGTATAAATTTATTTCTATAAATCAGACTCGATATTAAAGAACTCAACAGCAACAATGATATATCGCTAAGTTAGTTTAATATATCGTCTTCTTCTTCTTCCGCTTCTTTTTCGTATACCCTGTCCCATCATGACATAGGCGATCAAGGCTCTCCAAAACGTCCCGTTCTTTGCAGCTCTTAATATATCTTGTCTTTTTGGTATATCTCCTTAACCTTGTACCTCCATCCATTTACTCAAGCTCTCTAGGTAGGTTATGCATTGTTTTCCTCCGTCCCTCTTACCTTCAATATGTTCTGTGGGTATCAGATTTTCCAAACCTTCTTTCCTCTTTATGTACCCTAGAAATTTCAACTGTAATTTCCTGATGTTAACTATAAGTTTCTTGTTTTTTCTAAACTTTCGTCGTAGCTAACATATTTGGTCCATGGTATTGTCAGTATCCTTCTGTAGAACCACATTTCTGTTGTTTCAATTCTCTTCTTCATCTTTGAGGAGTTTCTTCAGCATTCACTGTCATATGAGCGAAAAGATGTTATAAACAATTCAGTACTCTTTTCTTTGTTTCTAACGAAGTTTTTTTTTTTCTGTTTTTTAATTCTCTGCTTAGCTTTTGGAAGGCATCTTTGGCTATCTCAATGCGCCTGCGGATTTCACTGTCGCATTTTCTATCCTCTGTTAAAAAGCTTCCCAGATATTTATTTATTTATTTTTATTTTTTTTACTTGTTTGATTTTGGTATCTCCATTTTGTAATTTGCATTTTGGGGGCCATCCTTTTGCTATAGCAAACATGCATTTTGTCTTCTTGCGGTTGGTAAATAATCATTTCTTCTCGATTTCCCTCGCTACGTTCTTTAGTTTCCTTTCTGTGTCTGCTCTCAACACTGTGTCGCCTGTATATCTTATGCTGTCAACAAAGTGGCCGTCAATAATGAATCCCAGTGCGATTTCTAATTCCCTCGGAATCGCTTTACTGTATATATTGAACAAGTCCGGTGAAAAGAGACATCATTGACTTACACCTCTTTCTATTTTTGTACATCTACTGCACTATCCGCATGCAAGATATTTTGATGCCAGTATTTTCTTTTAAGTATGCGATCATGGCTCTCCACTGCCTCTATCCCTTGTAGCTCCCAATAATTTTCGTCCCTCTGCCACATCCCCCAGGCCATGTTCTACCATCCACTTACTTAAAGCCGCCAGGTATGTCATGCGTTGCTTTCGCGTGTATCTCTTTCCCTCTATTCGATTAGTGAGCATCAGAGTCTCCAGGCTGTTCTTTCTTATTACGTGTCCCATAATGTTAAGTATAAGCTTCCTCTTTGTTTTCATCCTCTCCAAAACTTCATCTTTGCTCAAACGCTCGGTCCATGATATCCTTAGCATCCTTCTGTAGAACCATACCTCCGTTGCCTCGAGTCTCTTCTTCATCTTTGAGGAGACCGTCAAACATTCACTGCCGTAAAGGAGGACAGATACCACGCAGCAGTTCAGTACTCTTTCCGTTGTTACCAGAGAAATCCTTCTGTCTCGCAGTACTCTACCTAGCTTTTGGAATGCATTCTTGACCATCCCAATACGTCTTCGGATATCAGCGATGCACTTACCATCCTCCGTGAATACACTTCCCAGATATTCAAAGTTCCGCAACTGCTTGATTTTAGTGTCCACGACCTGCAAATCGCATTTCCAACTTGTCCTTTTACTGATGACCATACATTTTGTCTTCTTGTAATTTAAGGTTAGTCCCTTTTACTCGATTTCCTTCGCTGCCTTCTGTAGGAGATTTTGTCATTTCTTATTCGTGTCTGCTATCAGTACTGTGTCATCTGCGTATCATATGTTGTTAAGATTGTGGCCACCAATGTTGGATCCCGTTAGGATTTCCAATTCCCACAGAATAGCATTATAGGCTGAATATATGTTCTTGATTATTTTAATATCCTTCCTAAATATGTCTCACTCCCTTAGTTTATGTAGACACCATTGAGGTGTATGGGAACCATAGTCTAAAACAATACCATGTGGTGTTGTGGTTTCTGTCGCAAGTAGGTACGATGGATTTGCCCATCCCATATCCAAGTGAGTTGAATTCAGAGTTTTACTTCACCCAAACATGTCGCCAATCGAGGACGAGACCTGCTATTTACCCCATAGTTTGGGGGAGAAGATGCAGATTCATTTCTTATTCAAGGTTATTTGCGCGTAAATGTTAGTGACTCGACTGGAATTCGAAATTAAATTGACGATTAAGCCGGTAACCAGTACACCATTCGCGTAGAGTATTTATTGTCAGAAAGACAATTATTATTGAAGCGATACTGATTTAAAGTAAGTCGACTACAATTTATGCCTTATGCCAGACTAATCTAGACTGTGTTAATACTTATACACACTCACACAACATATATATATATATATATATATATATATATATATATATATATATATATTATTTGAAACACACGGAATATTTGATAAAAATACATTATCCGTTAAATCTGTTTCTTTTTAATCAAGAGGGATTAATATTTAATCCACGTGTATGCTTATATGAAACACGAAATATTTCATACGTATGCAGGCACATGTCTTAAGCTATATATATATATATATATATATATATATATATATATATATATATATATATATATATATATATATATATATATATGTGTGTGTGTGTGTGTGTGTGTGTGTGTGTGTGTGTGCCCACCTGCAGGTGCGTTAGTGTGTGTACGTGTGAGAATATATTTTAGGCTATATATGTAATTTTTTTACATGCTTGTGTGTGAGTTTCATAAAGCTATATATTTTACGAAATGCACATATCTATACATAAAATTCCCAATTCCCATATATATATATATATATATATATATATATATGTGTGTGTGTGTGTGTTTGTGTGTATATATATATATATATATATATATATATATATATATATCATAAAACATATTCACAAACATGCACGCCTAGAGAAACCTAAAACCACGCATATACACACAGAGAGACACACACTTGTGTATT